ATGATGCAATCTACTCCTCTGGTGGAGTGGCCTTGTTTGAAGGCAGTTTTAAGTGTGTATCACAGACTTTCTTCTTGGAGCATATTCTGTGATATGTATAGCCAGGACTTCGGATAACAGATTTTTTGGTGTGTTTGGGGTGGTTTCTGGATCTGTAAATATGTGTTAACTACTTATGCTAAACAATCTGTTGCAACATGTATTTAGCTGCGACACTCTGAGTATCCTTCCCAGACCTGAAGAAGAGCTCTTTGTAGCTTGAAAACTTGTCTCTTTCACCAACAGAAGTTGGTACAATAAAAAAATATTACCTCACCTACTTTGTGTCTCTAATATTCTAGGACCAACCTTTGCTATGGTGACATTGTAAACACCAGAGCATGTATAATTTTACTTGACAGACTCCTTACCTGATCAGAAACTGTGTTTCCTGACAGCATGTGCAAACTAATGTATAAATCTTAGTGTAGTAATTATTTTACAAGAACAGAATATACAATATAATGATAATGTACGAGTTAAGAGGCTTTCTTCCTGGGATCAGTGTCTCAAGTCTTAAATCTGTGCGTCTGTGTTGAGAGCATTTGGTTGGGTGAAACAAGGAGGATTAAGATTCATAACTGACCATTTTAAATGGCTTCACTTTTACAAATCCAAATTCTGTAGCTTAATTTTGACTATTCAATGGACCCATTGTAAAATTTATTTATAATATCTATTTCTAGGGCTTATGTAAAATGGCTGCTGTTTCATGGACAGATAGGATTTTTTTTTTTAAATATTTCTTTTGCAGACTTTTTTCATTCCCAAATGAAATGAGCTGATAGTATTGTTTAGGTTCCAAATGACAAGTAGCTCAATTAATAAAACACTGCACAGAATTTGCCATGAAGAGAAGCTCTGCTCTGAACAATGTAAGAGAACAGAGGTGAAATATGAGTAACAGAAAAGCTCACAGTGCTGCTTCCTGCCACAGTCTAGATGTAGATTAATTATTTCCCCCCTTTATGATTCTTACACCCCAGCTCTGAATTCATGTAAAACCCTCGATCTTGCAAGAATGCATGTAGCAACTTTATACACCTGATTAATCCCAATGAATAAGATTATTTGTGTGCATGTATGCAGTATGAGGGTAAAAGTTCACACTAGAAATTAAAATATGCTATTCAGTTTTCATCAGAGCACAAAAAGTAGTCTTTTTCTTAAATCTCTCTCATACACCAAAAAAATATGGAATCCAAAAACCAAAAGTCATATCATTACAACCAGGTATTTTCATACTATGTTTCCACAATACCTCTTGAACCCCCTTGAAAAAAAAATCACAAGTAGCCTTTAACATGCAATATTAATTCAAACAACATAAATTAGAAGCACAAAATGTTGTGATTATTAAAAAAGGCAACAATATAAGCAATAAGGCTTTGTATTTCTCAGTCTTGGAAGATTTTTTTAAAAAAGTGTTGGTGAAAATTAAGAGTTTCAGTTGCAGTAGTTTAGTGATGGTCCTTAATCTTCTAACTGTGTAAATTATGATTCAACAGGATACCAATACTCAAGCAAAAAGTTTACTGTCTCAGTGGTTTATAGGACTTAACCATAGCTTTGCATTCTGGTCACAAAAAAAAAAAATGACATTAATCGTCTACATTTATTGGTTGCTGTTTTTAGCAGGTAAATACAAGAGCCTTAGCAACACTGAGCTTTAGAAAGCTACACAGTACCTGATTAAGCTTTTTAGCCTCTTTACAGAATACCCTCTGTCAAGCGCACTAAACGTAAAATACACTATTTCCTCTCTAAAATGTTACAGTTAAAAGTGTATCGCTGAAGTCATATTTGAAAATATCTACATTTCAGTAAGAGATTTTTTTGTTTTACATTTCCCTCCTGAGTTGTGTACATCTGAGTGGATATTGGTATCTCATAATTTATTCTGGAGATAGCTGAAGACCAAATATGTGTCTGACCTAACAAAGCTCCCCAGCATTTTATTTTATTAACAGGGTTCTTAAGTAAAATTGAAAATAAAAAGTTCTGCTAGTTCATATGGCCTCTTCCATAATATGTACAAATACATTTATGACACTTACGTATATGTAAAACATGAGCAACAAACTACTGATCACTTCCTGTAAAACCATGAGCACCCACAACTTCAACTGAAGTCACTGCAAACAGAGTGAAGAGCGCCTCACAGGAGGCACTCAGCATCTTCCAGGATCAAGCCCATACTTAAAGAAAAATAGCTTTAAAAAAAACAAAAAAAAAAACAGCAAAACAGCTGCTGTAGGTTTAGCAAGCATTTGTGACTGTGCAATTTTAGCTTACATGTTAAAAATATTATAATAGAAATGTTATTTATTGAATATCTGATACACAACTACAACAAAATTCACATGCACAGAAAAAAAGCTGAGGGCCATAACCTCAGCTGGTATAGTCTCATTCTGCCAAGGCAAAATATAAAAAAAAATTAGTACTTCTAAGTAAGGAAACATCGGGAAATCATGTTTAATGGCTCTAAAGGTCAATCTATTAAATCTCAAATATTATTCTTCTAGAGCTACAAAAAAGTTCAACATTTTTTTTAAAAAGCACTGTCCAGTGATGCATAAAGAAATGAAAAAAGGGAAACAGAGAAATTGGATGATTTCTGCTTGTGTGAACTTCACATCTGCAAATGCAAGTAAGTGTTGTAAGCAAAGAAAAACAGGAACAGAAAAATGAATTGAGAAGAGATTTAAAAATATTGTACCTGCTTTGCTTCCTGATTTATTCCAGCCAGTGCTGCTTGGATTTGATGAAGCCCTGTCACCGTTTTTAATTTGGTCACTAAAAAAAAAAAATCTGCTAAAGGACAATAACCAAAATATTTCCTTCTCCAAATGCAATACATAAAAGAACACTGTACACTATAATAAGTGAATATATTTTTACAGTTTCCAGTTAAATTATTATTTTGCCCATTCATATAACTCAATTCTATTTAAATATGAAACTTTCCATGACATTTAAAAAGGAAAACTACAAAAACAATGACACATTTACACCACAAGATGTCACTACTATGGAATGCAAAAACTGATGTGTTTCTATATGCAGACATAAAAATGAAAGCCAAAGAAACAGACACTTCACACAGATCTAGTTTTTATTGTTATCAAACTAAATTTGGACTCGTTTAATTTTAAAACTTGTAAATTCAGCATTTTACAGATCCTTAGTACAGAGAATATGATAGAGTGATTTGTGTTTATCAGAACAGTTTATGTGCTAAAAATGTTTATTGAATATAATAGCATTCTTCAAAGACAAGGGGGACGACTTAGTTGATCAACATTCCTCAGTGAAAAAGTTCTAATTTCCAAGTCTCAGAGAGCTATTGCTCATTGCATATAATGACTGTTCTTGTTGTCCATATACTACTGTAACCGCACCACCTAGCCACTAGTTTGTAAAGCAATTTTGAACATAACAGTTATCCTGGGTCAGACCAATGGTCCATCTAGCCTGGCATCCTATCTTCCAACAGTGGCCATTGCCAGGTGCTTCAAAGGGAATAAACCGAACATGCAGTCATTGAGTGATCCCCTATGAGGGACGTATTGCCTGCCGCTTCCAGCAGCTCCCATTGGCCTGGAGCTGGGAGCCGCGATTGCCCGAACCTGCGGACGCAGCAGGTAAACAAACCGGCCCGGCCCGCCAGGGGCTTTCCCTGTACAAGTGGCGGAACAAGTTTGGGAACCACTGTTATAGACCTTTATCATATCCCCCCTTAGTAGTCTCTTTTCTAAGCTGAAAAGTCCCAGTCTTTTTGCATAATGCTAGTCTTTGATGTGTAAAAAGTCCTATTCATTATGTGATCAGTTTTTGTTTGGACAAAAAAGAAACTAATGCATGATTTCAGAATCTGTGTTCTGTTGTGTTTACCATAACTATCTACATGCCACAATTGCATGGATATTTAAGAACCCAAGTCCCATTAAAAAAAGGGAAAGTTTTTCCTTCTTTAGATTCTTATTTATTTATCAACGAAGACATCATAGTCAAGGTGGTGTACGTCTATGGTTTCTCTTTTCAGGATGCACTTAAGTTAACACATTTTGTTCCAACTATAGCTCACATACTGATACAATTCATCCCCTTAAATTTCCTTCATATAGAGAATAGAAATGTGCTAACAATGCTATTGAAAAGGTCTTACCCGTTAATTTGACTTCTCTAAGGTTTAAAGTTAAACACTTATTTAAGTATTTTGCTGGATTGAGGTCTAAACCCCGTCAGGCCAGATAGTAGATAAAAGTCACCCTGTCAAACAGATGAAGACAGAATAAAAAACAAAACTTTTGTAAGTTTACTTCCCCTACAAAGTAGGCTGGACTGGCTGACTCTGCTTGATTAGAAACCTTCCAAGAAATTATGTTATAGTGGAGCACCGGTTCCACGTTAGTTAAGTTTTAGCAGAATTTTCTATTTAAAGGATGACTTTTCCAGGGGCATGTCTACACTACAAACTTAAGTCAACCTATGCTAGGTCGACTTACAGCGACCGCAGTCATTACTGCCATGGCTGATGTCCACACTGCCCTCCTTCTGTCAGTGGTGCATGTCCTCACCAGCAGCACTTCCACTAACTGAAGAGGGGGAGCATGGGGAGCTGAGAGCTCTGCCGGGAGCAGGGGGCAGCCACCTGGGCTTCTTGACTCCCTGAACAAGGGAGCAGGAAGCAGGGACAGGGGGCAGCCAGAGCCCACTACCAACACCAGGCTTTTTTGTCAATTTCAGGGCTCCAGCATGGAGCTCTGAAATTGACAAGAATGGCAGCCAACAGCTGATGCGAGTAACGCAGTGTCTACATAGACACTGCATCACCTTAACTACACCAACATAAGCCCTGCACCTCTCCTGAAGGTGGAGTTATATCGGCGTAGTAGAGCACTTACATTGGCAGGAGCAAGGCTGTTGTGTGTAAACGGACATAGTTAGGTTGATATAAGAGGCCTTATGTCAACCTAACTGTGTAGTGTAGACCAGGGCTAGGTGCTCTAAAATCCTCATGCTTACTCGGATTCTCTTGAAATTTGCTGTGCCTCATAAGTGTGCTAGGTAGGGTTAGGCGACCACATTTATGATCAATTGAGCATGGGGTTCCAAGGTACAACCCTCCCTCCAAACTCCACCATTTTACAAAATCAACAGGTTATAAATTTTTTTTCCACATACCTGGGGCTCAGACCATGATGCTAATCGTCTCCCAATTAAGCTCAGTCTTTCCAAGGCCACAGAATACGAATGCCTTGAAATGATGCCCTGGCCCGGGGGAAATCTCCACAGGTTCCAAAAAGTCCATTGCATGAGTGCCATTCCCCACAGTCCTGGAGACCAAGTGTTTAGGGGCACCATAGCGCCTGAGGCTCTCTCAGGCATATGGAGTAGTGCAGGCGGTCCTGACAGTGGGGAAAGAACTTTGGACTTCGATGAGCTGGGGTGTGGAGACTCAGGTGGTGCCAACCCGCTCAGTGCTGGCGAATGGCATCACGGAGAAGTCTGAGCCAAGGCTACCATAGGGGGTTTTCCCCTAAAGGGTGGCCATGGTGCCGCGCGAAAGCTGCAGGATGGCTGTCTGCCACTCATTGGTACTGGTGGTGCCAAGTCCTGAATCTCTGGGCACCCTGGGACTGGAAGAGTGAGCAGGCCTCTCGCAGCCGCAAATGCCTCTGGCGTTGATGGTACCACGAACTGACTGGTACGCTGTCTGCTGGAGGATGGCACTTCCCATGCCAGAGTTAGCAGAGCTGGCGGGAGTACTAAGGCTGACAGAGGGCCTGCTGCAGTACCGGGGAGGGAGAGCAGCCCGACACAGGTCTCGCTCTACCCTGATCCCCTTGCCTGCTTCCGTTCAGCACTGGGGAATGACTTCTCCTGGTGCTTATTCTTATGCACCAGGAAGGAGGATCAGTGACGGGACTCTCAACTGGCGGAAGGAGCACTCTACATCAAAGCTGAGGTGCTTGGTGCCCAGTCTAAGCGCAGCTCCGACATTGGTCTTAGGGCTGTCTCCATGAGGAGGACCTTCAACCTCGCCTCCTGGTCTTTCTTGGTGCGGGGTTTGAAGTCCTTGCAGACCTGGCAACAGTCTTTCCTATGAGCTTCCCCTAAACATGCGAGACAGCTCGAGTGTGGGTTGCTCAAGGGCATTGACTTGCCACATACAGGGCTTGAAGCCTGGTGAATGAGGCATACCCTGGCCGCACGGATCAGACAAGCCTCTCCAACTAAGTGCGGAGGCATCCAAAACTCACTAACTACTAAAACTACTACTAACAAACTAACTATATACACGAAAAAAAGAGAAGGAAAACCACTGGAATAAATTGCCTGAACAACGAGGGAAGTTCCAGCAACTGTCACGGGCCGTAAGAAGGAACTGAAGGGGGAGTGAAGCCCCCTTATGCCAGTAGTATGAGCGCAGGGCTCCAGAGGTCACTGGAGTTGACTCAACGGATACCACTGCCTATACCAGAGGGTTTAGAGAAAGGTAAAAGAAATTGTGTACTCATGGACATTTACAAAATAGCTTATTCGTAGGAGAAGTTTCTTCCTAATTCCAAGCAGTTAGTGATTAGTTTATGCCAAGAGATATGATATTCCTCATATCACCCATATAAAATTTTAATCCTTTTTGACTCCTGCTTCCCCCCTCTGATCCTTTACCCAGGTGAAACAAATGGACTCTGAAAATGAGCTGGGAAGCCTCCTGCCCCCACCCCCAGTTGAGACTTTGAATTGCTCAAACTGTAAGCAAAGAGCTGGGGCCATTTCCCAAACTGAAGGGAAAACAGGGAGGTAGGAAGCAGCCCAAGGGAGGCTGATCTGGAATAGCAGCCAGGATGGACTGAGCCACCCCTTGTCTCTGTCCCCTTGGGCCAGGACCCAGCAGAGAGTGAGGTCCCAGATTTCCCTACCTTTCTCCCCTCCCCCAGCTGCCTGGAGATCCCAGGAGTCTCAGGAGGACGACGAACTGTGACTTGGCCACTGCTGCCCCAACCGGGCTGCCTAGAAGAGCCATCCCAAGACTAGGACAGACATTTTGACTGAGGCCTGACCATTGGGCCTGCTGGGTCCCAGGCAAATCCCGCTACATGCCCCTACACCTCAACCAAAGACAGCCTCTACGTACATACAATTATATTACTTTGCACTTACTTGGCAACTTATTTTTCTTTTCTTATTTTACATCTGATACGTATTGTAGTTAAATACCAGTGATAATTAAATAAAAGTATAAAGAAATAAATTCTTCTTGGATATAAAAATTGTTTTTAGACCTTTAATTGTAGGTGAATGTAACTGGTGAATCTATTCTGCAATTCAACCACAGACAAAATCCCCCCCTCCCCTCCAGTTTTCATGGCAGAACTTGACTTTGATATTCTCTTTACACATACAGAACTCCTTTGACGTTATATGGAGATCCCAAATGTAGGTAGAGCAAAGCACCAGAATCAAGATTGGTCATCTGTATCCAGAGACTGTTCCTCAATATTTTCAACTGGTAAGAGACAGCAGTATACAGACTAGCCGTGGGAGAAGGCCAATTAGGCCCCACTGGCTCCTAGATTTTGGGACACCTAACCCCTACACAAGCCACATACACAAGCTTCCTCACCAGGGGAGAGCTCATAATGGTCTCTTGTCCCTGAGGGATGATCAGAGTGAGACAAGAAAACCAAGAGCAGCAAAGAGAACATAATTCCAGGTCAGCAAAACTATTAAACCAACCTAACCATCACATTGTGATGTTAAAGTAGAAGATGGTGCTCAGAGGTTAA